GAAAACCTTTTTCTAAATCAGTTTTCAATGCTGATTTAGAAAAATATAGCTCGAACCTTCCATCTTGCAATACAAAGCTCAAAAAGTCGACTCCATCATAGAGGACGGTGTTTTGTATTTTTGAGGTCCTCTCAGTAATTTGAGTTTTTCTTCATGAATAAATGGTTTTTGAAAGCTCGGAAGGTGTTATTCGTAATCTGCTCGTTAAGCTGAATCTGAAAATATATAATAATGCCAGAAACTTTGCCAGCGTTTTAAGGGTGTCAATACCTCAGGAAATACGGGCCAAACTATCGAAAAGGGACCTTCGACGATAAGGGGGCGCCGACATTTATTGATCAAAGAAAACAGTTAGAAGAAAAAAATATTTAAATATTCAAAAAAAAACAGACACTAACGAAAAAACCTATTGGAAAAATAAACTGAAAAGAGTATTTTGAATTAAACAAAAGTTTACACAAAAATAAATGAAAAAAATATTATCGACCACGATGCGTAAAACGAATACGACGAAGAACGGCGCGATGACGAAATCGTGTTATTTCTTGTTGTTGTTGTTGTATCACTTGCCGTAATTCTGCTAGTTCCTCTAGAAGCTGCCTACAAGACTCACATGATGTTGTGGCTGATGGTGCTCTGGGTGGTCTTGTAGGCGGCTCACCCTATAAAAAAAGAAATAGTATTTGACTAAATATAGTCGGGATGTTTTTTCATCCTAATTATCAATCACTCTAAAAATCTTGAAACACGAAATTAAACATAGCAACACAGTCTTCTCATAACAAGGAGGGGTGTTGTCATCTAAAATTTAATAATGTTAACCGATTCCCTTATATATCGTGGAGTATCATCAAAAATATTGACTGATAATTTTTGTTTCACTGCGAACGACGTTTGTCCAGGAAAAGGCCGTTACATAAAACTTAAGCTTACATATGATTGTCGTTGATTTGTACTCTTACGAAAGACTTTAATATTATCGTTTCTCTTACACATTTTTGTTTTACGTTATGAGTACTTTTTCATCAATCATATATATCTGTTTTTTTTTGTATCGTTTTCTTGGTTGCGTTCTCTTTCCCTCATATAGACATATTGACCCATTTCAGCCAGATAGCTTGTAAAGAACGATAATAAACTTAACTTTTCTCGATCTGAAAGCTTGGACATCAGAATCCTCTTATGATAGAGAGTGAACGCTGAACAATCAGATATTGAAATCATTAGCGCAAAATCGACTTTTTATACGGGGAACAGAATCGGTTCAAATTGTTTTTCTAAAGAGCTTTTTATATGAACCGACGGTCA